CCAATCAACAATCATCTCTCATCACGTTTCTAAAGCTGCCGCTACCTCTCTCTCTCTCTCTCTCTCTTCTTCTTCTTCTTCTTCTTCTTCTTCATCGTTTTCACTCGCTTTTGGTGTAATTTTCACCTCCCAGAGAATGATATTTGTCTGTTCTTTTTGAGTTACTTTAATCCCCTTTTCCAGCTATCTTGATTTGAGTTTCTTCGATTTCGATTCATTTTTTTTTTTTTTTGCATCTCAAGCATCAAGTTTGTTTTTCTTTTCTCTTTCTGTTCAGCTTCATATCGGATTGTTGATATTGAATATTAATCTGGATTCAGAGATTCACTACTGATGACTTGTCCGACGGATTTCCCGGTGAGTTTCGTTGTTAATCTCCTTGTTTTTGTTGTTTCGATTGAACTGAGATGTTTTGCTGATTGCTTGTTTTTTGTGTACTGTTGTTTTGCTTACATTATTGAGAGGAAAAAATGGAATTATCGAGTTCTTGTGAGCATTTGTAACTCGGCAGGCTATGGATCTGGTGAATATCGATCTTTCTCCTCTGCATGTGTTCTTGACTTCATAAAAAATTAAGGTTTTAAGCTTCAGTAACACTGTAGCAGAACATTTCTCGACTAATTTTGATCTGAAATGAATATTTATTGATTATAACTAGAAATTTTTAGCTGTCTTGATTTCGATGAATCTATTCATGTTTTACTGCTATTGGGGTGTACTCTGTCTGGGATTATTTCTCTGTGTTGTTGTCTTGTAGGCTGTGTATATAGTGTGGAGGTCAATCTAGTTTTGTAATATCAATCATTATCTTTTACCTGAGTAGGATTGGAAGCAGTGTGAAAATTGAAAATGCTTTTTCCTTCATCAGATTCGACTTTTATGGGTTAGTCTGTGTCCGGTTTCGTATGTATATTATGGTTCGTGTAGTTCATTTGTAAGCTTTGTATTACTTCAAAGTTTAAGAATTTGTATAAAAGAAAGCTCTATCAGTAGACGGTTTGAGATTCTCCTCGACTCTTACCCAGGAATCTCCTTGACATTGACTTGTATTTCATTCATTTGATTACTACTAGCCATATCTGATGCATAATCACTTGATCTGGTGGGCAGTCGAAAAAGTATGTTTGTTTTGTGATCTAAAGATTGTTATGATGTCTAATGTTATGCACCTCAGTAAGGTTTAGTTGCTAGCCGTCATTGCGTATTCAATACTAAAGTCGATGGCTCTGTTATAGCAGTCTTTTTGGCAGAGTTCTCAATGTTTTCAGATATTCGGATTTGTTTTAAGTCACAATTGTGAACATAAAAGCTGCATTGAATGTGATTTTTTATCAGCAGTTTGAACTATCAAAATTTGTAAATCTGATTGAAGCCACAATGTTCCTTGTTGTGAAAACAGAAGATGTCATTAAGGCACTCACAAGTTAGTATTTATAGAAGCTAGAAATTCCATGTATCTTTTAAAATTACCTAGACATCCTTGAGTTTCTCATAAATGTGTACAATTTGTGAAATATAAGCATATGTCTAGATTTTATTCCCCAGAGACAGCTGGTTTTTCTCTACTAACTAGGCGAAACCTCAAGGGCAGTTTCTATCAAACTACTCTTTCTTCATGTATTTTTTTTTAATTCGTCCATGACCACATGTAAGCATCCATCTGATCTCTAGATGTGTCCATGGCAGAAATATCAACGGCCCGTGTGACAAATCTCTATATTTAAGTTAACAATGGGAAGAGGTAGAACAAAAGGAAAGAAGCTATTGAACGGTAACCAAGACGATCCAAATAGCGGTGAGGAAGAGAAAATTCCTGCTCAGAGAAAAAGGGGAAGGCCGCAAAAATCACCTAAGGACGAAAAAGATGAGATAAACGAAGCTCAAAAACAGGAAGACGAAGAAGATAGCGAGGATACAAAGAGTGTAACAGGACAGAATGGGAAAAGGCAGAAAAGGAACGGGCCTGTCAAGGAGAACGATGAGTTGGTGAAGGATGACAATGTTAACGGAAATGGGAGGGGACCGTGCAATGAGGTGTCGACTAAATCCAATGGTTTCCGCCATAGTGGGAGCAGGCGAAAGAACAAACCACGTCGAGCGGCTGAGGCAGTTATCGAATGCAACTGAATTTTTCCCTCCTCTAGGGAGGCGCTGTCTACTTGTCTTCACGACATATGTCCTTTCTGTTATTGCTTCTCATTTTTGGCACATTTTATTGAATCTTTTGGTTTTGGATGCTGTATGGAGATATTACTGGAGCGAGACCTGTGGTGACAATGAGGTATTTCTTGTGATGTTATCAGATGATTGTTTTTGTGTTATTATATGGTATGGTTATAAAGGTTGCCCCATTTAGTCTGTTACTGCGAAAGAGTAACTCCTTTTAAAATTAGTGATACATTCTTGGGATGTGTATTTGACATTACATAAACCAAATGTTAGTAATATATATATATATATATATATATATATATATGGATGAGATGAGATGAGGATGGTAGATAGTGAAATAAATAAGAATAAATATGTACAATTAGATCTTTCAAGACAACGGTTATCATCAAGTCGTGGAAAACATCCTAGTCGTGCGCGGAGCCGGAGGGTCACAGTGGACCCGATGACGGCAGTCGGATATTGCGTCGAACCTCGGGTCACGGTGGTCGATGGTGGCGGAGAGGACTGGGGCTTAGAAGACGGGAGTTTTAGTTTTTTTATGAGGGGCTTCGTCTTGTGAATTTGATAAGTCATAAGGACTTGATTGCAATTTAAAAATTTTAATACATTACAATTTAGTTCATTTGTCAAATCTATAATTAATAAAGCTATAATTGATATTTTAATATATGTATTTAATATTTAATTGAAAATAAATAATATGTTACATAAATATATTAAAAAATGGTAATAGTAATTTTTTATTTAGTTTGGACTTCCGATAATTTCGGTTACGTAAATTAAAAAAAATCACATCAAAATGAAATAGTCGAGTTAAAAGAGTAAAGAAACTGAAAATTTTAGCTTATTCGGTTTTGTTCGATATTTTGCAATCTAAAAGTCGCTAAAACCGATTGAATTAGTCGAATTATTCGATCGATTAACCGAAATAATCTAAATAATTAAGATGATTCATTATTTATATTATAAAAATATATTTAGTATTTTAATGTTCATATTTAATATACTAAATTTAATTTTGGCTTAAGAGACAATGTATCAAATTCAATAATGTGCATTTCCACAAACAATAGTGTGTATTTCGTATAACATTATTGTGCACACTATTGATCAGGTATTTTTTTATTCTTTTTTTTTTGTGAATTTCAATTTTAGAAACTTTAATAATATGTACTTTAATTAAAATTATTTTGAAATTATCAAATTATTTATATAATAAAATATATTTAGCATTTTTAAATTTTTTTTAATTTATTCATAATATTGTTTGTTATCTATAAATAATATATATAATATAAAAAAATAATATATCTTGTATAGTTCAATCGATTATGTTAATTCATTCTTTTTTGTAAATAAAGTCGAATTCAAACCAAAATAACTGAATTTTAAATTTTTGTGAAAAAATGCACACTAACATAACATCTTTTTTTATTCTTTTGTGAAAAAAAAAATATATATTACTATGCGCAATATCACATACAATAATGTAAAGTTTGTCTAACAATAAGGACATCAACAATGTTTTGGTTTTAATCACAAAAAATTGTATGCCACATAAGAAAATAGAACTAGTCTAAAAAAAG